GCTTCATTTATTTCTTGATAATGTCACACAGATAAACAAGAAATTATCCTTAAAATTCTTAGGACTATTGAGCTGTGATACTAAAGAGGTCTGAGAAATTAAAGATTTCCATCTGTCTGTTTTTCCAGTGAGGAAACTCAGACACAGAAGTTGCCTAAGGGTGGTGGAAAAACATAGGAAGATCTTCAATTTCTTTTCAGATTTACTGTCCTCTTTAGTTTTATCTGATTATTAATACCCCTAACTTGGGGCCAAAATAAGTGTGGAAAGCACTATTTGGACCAGGCTCCTACTGCCTCAGACTTAGTTTCTATAGTTTCATTCAATAAGATTTATTTTGGTCACTCTAGGCTAAGAGAAGAAAGTGAAATATTGGTTACTTTGCCCCAAACCTGTGGCAGATGCTCTACAGCAGGGGCTGGCAAACCTTTCTTGCAAAGTGCTAGACAGTCAGTACCTGGGGCTCTTGGCCTGACTGTGTCCACTGCAGTGACCCAGTACTGCTGATCTCGGGTGACAGCTTGGCATGGCTGTGTCCAGGGTCATATGGTCTGTAGTGTAGCCAGAATTGGCCATGTGCTGCAGTCTGTAGACCCTGTGAGTACAAGGTTGGGATATCCACCCTGCAGCACCTTTGTCCTCAGCACCAGCTTGCTGAGGATAACAGCTAGCTTCATATGCTTTGTCATGGTTGTTTATGGTGCTAGTGGTGATGGTGATGAAGAAACTCACATGTCAGATTATGGTTACCTGTTTCCTTGCAGTTTTGGAGGTGTTTTCTAGGTGACATGCTTGCCAAAGTGCAACAAACATTTATGAAAGTAGCTAATGTACTTCAAATACATCTAAAGAAGACTGGAATTTTTTCTGAAGATTCATTTTCTGAAGATTCATAAGAAGTTTTTCTGAAGTTCATAAGATTTCTTTTTCTAAAGGAAAATAGTTTTCTTCTGATTATAATGATAGGACATAAAGAAGAAATTAAAAATAACCAAGTCCCGAAGCCCAGGAGTAATCACCGTTGGTAACTGTGCTTGAAACTTGCCCCTTTGAAGCCTCCTATAGAGGCCCACATGTCATTTCTCTTCTTTGGTGCCCCGCAGGCTGGCCTGGGCACATCAGGGGCCACCAGAGTCCAGGGTGCTGGAGAACAGGTGGGGCACTGATCATCCAGCTTCTGTCTGGAGCCCTCTCACTCAACCCTGTGACCATGGTGACCACACCTCCAGCCTCTGTACATTCAGACTGAGGGTAGCAATGCCTGGCCCTGCCCAGCTTTATGCTGGCCTTTTTCTGAGTGTCTCTCTTTCCCTACTCATATGCCATTTCCCTTGTGTGGCCCTGACCTGACAGGGTTAGATGCTATGTCAAGGGGACTGTGCCACCTACAAGATGAGGTTGACTTTTCTGTGTGCCTTGTTCTCCTGGCTTTTCGGGCTGCAGCCCTAGATCCCAGAACCCGATCATTTGGAAACATGGATAATAATAGGTGCTAGGTAATCATAGAGAAGAGGAAAGGGGGTTACATTAGGGTGTGCGCAGCACTGTATGGGCACCAGTGGTGGCTGGAAGGGAATGTAAAGAGTGGTGAAGCCACACCAGTGCTCCAGGCTTAACAGCAGGAGTTCCCAGGGGTGTCCTCTGCACAGGGAAAGGCCATGAGCCTCCCAGTGCACCTTGTCAGTCTGCTTGATGCAGAGCCCTAGGAGCTCTTGCCCAGGCCTAGGCCCTTCCTGGATTCCTGGTGCTTGTGTGCTTCAGGTGACAGCAGGTGGCAGTAGAGAGCCTGACTGGCTGGAGACTAATGGAAATCTGCGAAAGAACTACGGGAAGATTGTTGTTATCCTTCAAAGAGAAGTAAGGAAGGTTGTTGTTATCGTTCAAAGAGAAGTAACTGTCAGTGTCAGCAGAAAGAGAATAGCTGTGATTCATACCCCAGGTATAATAGGACCTAGTGTTTAGTGAACACTTACCGGAATTTTTAAACTCCTCCTTTACCTAGACACACCATAAAGTAAGCTATATTGTTACTCCCACTTTAAGAGGAGGAAATTGGGCTTTCAGGAGCACTTCAGTAGCTGGACAGATGGCTGTTTGCTAACACTGGATGTTGTGGGCTGTAACCCAGGCAGCCTCTGATCACTGCCTTCCCTATCTTTGGTTGGCCTCCAGGGCTTTGTCCCCGGGTGCATGCCAGAGGTGGATGTTTTTAAAGTTCTGGTGTGCCACAAGGTGAAAGATTGCAAGCATATGAAAAAGTAGCAGGAAAAGTGTGCCCCTTGTCCAGGACCTTATCCACTCCTGAGCAGTGGGCTCCTGAGTCAGCTGTTCATCTGTGTCCTTCCTGGGATATCCTCACAGGGTACCTGCAGGCCCAGGGGAGGGGGAGGCATTGGTCCCTTGTCCTCTCAGCTCCATTCTGTCCTGGGGTCTCTCCATGAGGCTGGGAGACAGTGCTATTGCTGAGACCCTCAGCAGCTAAGTCACCACATGTTACTCAGGTTCCTCATTTCTTTGTTTTCAGCTTTACCTAGCAGAATCTTAATTCCCATCCCCTCCTACTCCCCTCATTTAAACACGGTGTTTATAATATGCTTAGGTTTTAAGTACAGCATGTGGAGCTTGTCTTGTATTCAGAATACTTCTTGTCATGATTATGAGCAGGATGTTATGTGATACTCAGGAACCCTGGAAGGGCCACCTTACATGGAGTAGGATACTTGTACCTAGTGCTTTTGTGACAAAGACAGTCCCTATGTTTTGATGCAAATATTGGCACCTGTGCCAAAATAAAGTATTATAGTAATTCAGATGGATACTTGTGTCCTAAGTAAAAGATTGTTGCTACACTTTCTTTATACATAGAGATTCTCACATGGCCAACACATGTTGTGACTTAAACATAGCAGAGAGAAAAGGTGCATTTACAATGTAATTAAAAAAAAATCACCAGTATCCATTAGGTAGTTTAATTGACTACTCCTTAAGTGCATTGTGGGCCCACAGTGAAATATGTTTTTCAAAATCCATTTTTCATACATAATCAGGAGTTGAATATGTTTGGTTGCTGTATTACTCAGGTGGCGTTTTGTGTGTTACTTATATGTGCTCTGTGGTTTCTCCATGACCAATGGGTGATTCAAGGGACTGTGCTTCAGTTCTACCCCCAGGCGACCAGAATGAGCCCAGAGCATATCCACAAGGCTATCATAAGTTCTTGGTCTTGTATTTCATTTTACAATTTCAACTTCTTCCTGTTTTGGAAGTGTGTTTGTGGGTGTGTCTCTGTCTGAACCGATGAGACTGATTGATGTTGGTGTTCATAGCTTGGAGATGTCTCCATCATAATGTGTGTGCTCACCCCTGGTTTTAGGCTAGGGCAGGGTGGCATGGCAGAGGAGAAGCAGCTAACCCATTGATGAGCATCACACCCCCACGATCCAGTCATCTCCCAAGGGCCCCACCTATAAGTGCATGAGGCTCGATAAACTGTAACATTACCTATGTGTATATTTGATGGCAAGTAACTGCTGTTTTCTAAAGGACAGGGATTATGTGTCCTCAGGACTTTACAGACTGTACCTGAGGAAAGGAAGGGTTCCTAGGAGGGTGTGGAGTGTGTGTTCTGGGTTTCTAAGAGAGAAACGAACTTCAGATAACCTGAGGATTCTCTGGTGACAAAAAGAGCCCCAGAGAGAGCAGAGTTCAAGAGCATAGGCTACTGTGGGTCTATGGAGAAATAAGCTTTCTGGAAGGGGCAGGGCAAGAGACTCAGGTGAATGTCAGGGCCTCGCAGCAAGTTGGGTTGGAATGGATAGGCAAGTTTACATGGGGAGGTCATGACCATAGCCTGGGATCCACTCTGCTGGATTTTGGCAGGTACAGGGTTGGCAGGCGTGTGTTAGGAGACAGAGAGCTGAGTTCCCTTCACAGTTCTGCAGAAGTCAGAACAGCTGCTGGGAGCAGGGTTGGTCTTGCTGGCACACTGACCATCTCTACTCCTGACACTTGTGTAGTTACTGGCTTCCAGCCCAGTACTTCTTGCCAGCAGTGCTGAGTGCTTAGTCCATAACTAACTGGAAGTCATTCAGCAGCCCTAGGATAACCAGGCTGGGAAGGCCACAGGGCCACTCTTGTGTCCCCTCTAGTCCCTGCACTCATAACATCCTTTAAGTCCTCCACTGCATGACTGTCACTGTCTTCTGCATGATGGTTTCCACATTTCTGTCACTGTGGTGGGTTTATAATCCTCCAGTCCATGCCTTCTTCCCAGAGCTGCAACAGCCTGCTCTGTCCTGATGATCCATGGCCAATCTTGGTCCGTGTGTTAGTCAGAAAGCCTTTAGCCACAGGACTGGTGGGGGAACATCACTTTGTACCTTTGAAATGTCCCTGGGCCAGGTATTTAGCTCAGTGGTTCTGCCACCTGCCTTGAAAGCCCAAAGGCCCGAGTTTGATCCCTGGTACCAAAAACAAACAAAAGAAAAAAGCAGTGGTTCTACCACCTGCCTTGAGATGTCCCTGATCAGGTTAAGGCTGTGGGGAGTGTGGCCATCGGCCCTGCCTGTCTGGTGGGGCACAGCTGTTTGGACAGTGTGGAGTTCTTCACAGCAAACCCTGGAAACAGATCTATTGTTTATTTCTCCCTGACCCTTACCTGCTCCACCTGTCATATCCTGGGGTCCTGGCTCCCGAGTCTGACAGGTGTTAGAATCCCTGGTGGCCTGGGAGACTCTGAGTAGTGAGGCCTGGGAATCTTGCATTTTTAAAAAATGTAGATACACATAAAGGAACTGCTGGAGGGATGGAGGAAGGACCTACTGAGCTGTTGAGTAATTGTTCTTCATCTAACTTTGCTTTTCGATTTCTACATTGATCGCCTATTTTTTCAGAAATCAGAGAAAGACTAGGTGTCATTAAAAAAATCAAAACCACATCTCATTTTAAGGTGATCATTGCAAAAACTACTGGTCTTCTTACATGTGCTTCTCTGTTCTCAGGGGGACTTGATCTTATCTTCATGCCAGGCCTGGGATTTGACAATCATGGGAACCGGCTAGGCCGGGGCAGGGGTTATTATGACGCCTACCTACAGCGCTGCCTGCGGCTACAGGGCACGAAGCCCTACACCATCGCCCTGGCCTTCAAGGAGCAGCTCTGCCACCAGGTACCAGTGGGCGAGCATGACATGAGGGTGGACGAAGTCCTCTGTGAAGACCCCACAGCACCTTGAGTCCAGATGACCATGCCAAGTAATCGGGTGAAGAAAATGTTTATTTTCCCTTGTCAAAGTTAGTTGAAATTACTCATTAAAGTGAACGTGGACTGCATTATTTTCAGTGTGAGTATGAAACCTGCCATAAAACTGTCTGTGGAAATCAGGACAGGTGTGAGTGGTAGAATATTAACCAAAGTAGAGCCTATGACTGTTGATGTGCAGCCTGACTCCTGAGGCTGATGTGATGAGCTTTGCAGCTTAGGGTAAGTGTTCATGAGGAGCTGTGTCCAGGTCAGTGTAGGAGGAAGTGGAACATGTTGAGCTTGGTGCTATAGCTCATCGTGTCCTGACTGCTGTGGGCTTGGTCAGTCTCTGCTGGGTGGAGAGACTCAGAGATTATCAACAGACTTGCTACTTTTTCTTGGGGTGCCAGGTTCCCTGAGAATATTATGCTACTTCATCACAGCTTCTTTTATTCACCCTGAAATTTGGTGTACAACATTGTCAGCTCTGGGTTGGTGGAGGGAAACCTGTGATTTAGTACTTTTGTTCAGCTGACTGGATCCCATCACTGCTGGTTTCTGAGTGTTAGCTGCGTATAAGTTTAAGATCTGATAAATTCTAAATTAGAAATTATTTTTATTCTCTTGCGATTTTTGCATTTGTCTGACTTGGCAGATGGGCTCCCAGCCAGGGGGTGGTAACTTGGTCGGGAGGCTTTGGTGATCACTTGAGGCCTAGGAATCTCCCCACCTCCCCATCTTCCTGCCTCCCCTGTCACCAGCTCTGTGGGCCCTGCATGTAAAAGGTGTCTGGTATCTGTTCTCTCCTCCCATTGCCCTGCTGTTTCCCACTGTCCAACCCCTCAGCACTCTGGAAGTTGAACTCGGCAGGAGCCTCATACTGGCTTCTTTTTCCTGCAGTTTATTTCAGAATGATCTTATAAAACACATCTGATCTGATTCTGAAGCACGCCTAATTGGAGTAGTCAGAGCCCCCTTAGAAGGTGCCTCCTACCCTGCCTTTTCCAGCCTTTCCTCTCCCCATTACCTTCCTCTTCTTGCTGTGAGTTCTGCAGCTGCTTTTGCCCTTTGCACTGTGAGTGTTTCTGTCTGAGGAGCTTTTTTCTCTTCTTTATCTAGGGAACTCTACACCTGCCTTGCTTGTTCTGTGCAACTTCTTCTGTTTCCCCAGACAGCTTTGTGTTTCTGACCTTGTCTAAATGACCTGGCACTGAGCTTCTTATCCGTGTGTCCGGTGCATCAGTTCTTGGCTACGTCTGTCCTCTGCTCCAGACTGTGAGCTCCAAAGATGTCTCATACTGAGCAGATACTAGACAGAGAGTGGATGTGTGGTAATACTTTCAATGAATTAATTGAATGTATTTAGAATGACTTCACTTAAAACACAGTTCTACTATTCTCTGGATAATAGAATGTGATTTGATATTTCATATTTTAAGTAAAAAACTTAAAAAATGTCAATTGGATCTATACAGTTTGGGACATACAGTGAGAAATGGGAAAGAAGTAGAATTCCTTTACACTGCAAAGACATGATAATTCTGGTGGAAAACCTTGTTTTTAGCATTACTTCACCTGTGTGGGTAAAGTGGATGTTACATGATTGACATAATTGCTGGTCTGACATGGTTAACGTGTGAAATTCCTGAGTTGCTGCAGGCCTGGGAAGTTTTGCCCTGTTGACCCACTCTCAGTTATTCTTCCACCAAAGGACAGTATTTAAAAAGCCAGTCCCTGGTTTGTCAAATGTGCAAGAATATGAAGTCGACTGGCCAGAAGACACAAGGCCTTGAGAATCAAGAAAGTCAGAGTACTCTGGGAGTCCCCCGGGACAAGGAGCTGTTCTCTAGTGACCAGAGTGTACAGGAGGGCTCAAAAGGGAGGAACCCAGGTGGTGCAGGTGACACCGATCCTATCCTTCTGCACCTGGCATCAGAAGAGCCGTGCACTCTGGTGGGTGGGGTGGACATCACGCAGGAATGGTGGGTCTGAGGTGTGGGGACTGCAGGTGGAAGGGAGGAAACAGCAGCTAGGTCTGAGAAGAGACACTTCTTAGTGTTGGAGAATTGTAATCACACCAGACCCTAGCATAGTGCATATTCTGTAGGTCTGTGCTTACTTTACCAAGGAGCTGTGAAGTTCTGGTCCTTGTGTGGATGAGAGTGAGGCACACTTCATTGTGTCCTCTGAGCTAAGAGCTTGATGAGTATGAACAGCTTCATGAAAAAGCTCAATTCCAGACCCCAGGTTTTTTTTCTTGCAGAGATTATTGAAATTCAGTTGTTTATACTACATTTTATTTTATTATTTATTTATTTATTTTTTTGGTACTGGGGATTGAACTTGGATCCTTTTGAAACCATGGAACTAGATCCCTGGCCCCCATGTTGCATTTTAATTGTACCTCCTCCAGCCTACAGCTCCTCAGAGAGACATATCTGCCACATTTGTGGCTACTTCAGGACCTGCCACAGACCCCAGAACAAATTAAATGGCCAATAACTCTTGATGCAAGAATGAATAGTTCATTCTATTCCACCTGCCTGTACTGTGAACATGCTGTTTGAGTGTGGCTACTCCGTTTCTCCAGCATTGTCTTAGGCATGGATTTTTGCAGGACTCTTGCTCCTTGTCTTGGACAGTTCAGTCTGTAGGCCACACCATGGGCTGTTCCTTTTTTTCAGTGCATTCCCTCTTCACATCTTCTCCATCCTCTGCCTTCCTGTGTTGGGGAGGCCCTAGACCTTCTGCCCTTAAGGTGTAGTCTCCAGTCTGTTGTGGGCACCTTTCCCAAATATTTGGTATTTTGCTGAGCCTTAAAACAAATAATACATTTTTCTAAACAGTAACATGCACATTCTAAAGCATACACATGAAAGATAAGACAATACTGTGTGAAATATATATGCTTTATAATGTACTCATTTTTAAAAGAAAAATATATAGTTGAAAAATGTTTGAAATTCATTGTTTTCTTTGTTAACTCTTTTTCTTCTTTGTGATGCTGGGGATTGAACCTAGAACCTTGCATATACTAGGCAAGTACTATATTACCGAGCTATACTCCAGACCACAATTCATTGTTTTTATAAACCTTACTTTAGCACATTTTGAATGACTCAAAAGTAAATAAAAAACTGAAAATTCAGTTTATATCAATAATTGGTTTTAATAGCTTTTATGGCTGAAAGAAACTACCTTCTAAAGACTCAGACAGATCCAGCTATAGTTACTGAAATTTTCAGTTCTGTTTACTGATTTTGCAGTGATATTTTTAACTAAAGTCTGGCTAGTCAATATTTTTCTTGATATGAATCTGTCTTTTTTATGTATTAATCAGTAGGTGCCACACATTTGCCTGTTGACAAGTGGGTTTAATAACCATTTTCCATATTTCCCTCTGCCTGGCTTGCCCCCTGGCACTAGGCAAGCAATCTATTATTGAGCTGCGTGGCTGCTCCAACTCTCTTTTTGAGAGTAGTTCCCTCCTGTCTTACTGTTGAAACATGCCTTTTACCCAAATTCTATGTGCTTAGTTTTTGAAAATCTCACTTTAAGTAGTGATTCACTGGTGACCATTTATAACCCCAGAAAAGTCAGAAAATTTAGAACTTTTGTGTAAAAAAAATACATGAAAGACTCATCTTGAAGTTTAACAGCTCTTTTGAAAGTATTTTACCTTGAGATAAAAAAATTCAGGAGAATCAAAATATTTCTCATGGGAACTTGTTACCACATCATAAAGAATTGTAAGTATTCTATTATACCATAAGGATCCTAATTTTATAAAATCCTCATCAGTGAAACCCACTGCACATGGGACATGTCCTGCCTATGAATTATGTGGTGATATTGTTGCTAAATTCTTGATGTGGAATCTACCACCTCACTTCTCAAAAATTCCAGTCAAAGCAGCCACTCTATCAGGAATAGAAAGTAAAATAGTTTGCCCATAAAACATTGTTTTTTAAAAGGTGAATTACTTTGAAAAATATTTCCTCTCCTTTATTTCGTGTTTCCTTTATTTCTTCTTGTGGTACTCTTAAGAGAAAACATGTTGGAGACAACTGTTCTGTTACTCAGCCCCCACCTGATAAGGTCGTTCCTGTGCTCAAGTCTTCAGGTTGCCAGCTGTGTCCCCTGCAGGTCATATGACAGTGCTTCCTGACAGGAAGATGCCTCAGTTTTCTTTCCCTACATCTTTTTATCATTATTTTATGCATATTTCTGTGGCATGAAGAACCAGTGGTTTTGGTTTTTTAAATGGGATGATATACTTTGCCCTTTGCTATTAAAGTGACAAAATGTAAAAGGCTTATAAACATTTGTTATTCTGTTTGGTGAACCTTGTTTAACAAGTTTTGGAGTTGTAATCACAGGATATGAAATGCTACTGAGCACGTCATGGATGTGTCCTCTTGGTCTGTAGCTTCTGCTACATGGCCTCACACATTCATTGGGTGCTGTTCTTTGTAAGAATCTTTTCAAGGCACTTGTGCATTTTGAGAGGCTTGGTTCAGTGGAGCAGGGAGATTCCTCTGCCTGGGAAAGTGTATAGAAACTCACTCTCTGTCACCTGCTATCCCCTAAGCAGGACTTGCACCTGGTGCCCTCCTGCACAGGATCTTCTGATCACAGATGGAGCCGGGGTCTGATGTCAGTCTGAACTTGACTTGTGATAAAACTTCTTGTCATTTAAAAATAAGAAGTACATGTGAATAACAGTTCTAATTTCTTCTTCCCCACACTCAGTGAATTGCCTGCCTGCTCTGGAGTGGTCCCCCTGATTGGAGACCATTGCATTAAGGACAGACACTCCTGGTGGGATAGGCACAGGGCAGTCAGCTGGCCACTTCATGGGACACTGCTGATTTTCTGTCTTTCTGGTCTCAGTGTGTCCTGAGAGGCCTCTCTGCTTTCTATCTGTAAGCTATGTCTGGGGCTATGATCTTGATGGTTGGTTTGAGGAACAGGAATTAAAAAAAATTTTTTCCATTAAGTTTATTGGTACATTTATCA